TAATAAAGGCTGAGAGAGAGAGAGAGTGAGGTTGGCCCCCACTACGGCTACGAAATCACGACGCAGCGCAGTCCAAGCCGGTCACTCCTCAAACATATGCTGCGTCGTGCCCCTATCGCTACCACAAGTGGCACTCAGATTTCAGCTCCCTTCCGGCAGTACGGCACAGGTACTTCTTACAAAAACACCCATACCAGAAGGCACCTGCAGAAGCTGAAAGGTCAATAACCCGTGAAACCTGCTCAATACCTATCCGCCACGCTCACTATCACTACACGAACGCCTCATCCGAGTTGACTATAATGCGCTTGATCGCACCAATTGTTTAAAGGCTCACTCGGAAGCCGAACTGTAAATCCGACAAATTAGGACCTACGTCACTGAGATGGCCGATGAGGCGAGCGGCGAAGTTTTGCCCGAAGAGCTTTTCAACCTCATGAAGCAACAGTATTGGGCGGAAGGATAATCTGTGTGCCCAACTGCGCCCTGCCCTAACGCTGCTACTGCGCGTGAGTGTTGTAAGAGGTGACTATGGAAAATGCCAGATGACTTTTATGGAAAGATGGTAGTATCCCTCGTTTTTTTTATAGGAGAGGGGGAAAACGGCCATACGGCTCACCTGAGGGTAAGTGAATGCCGCCCATGAACAACTGTGACACCAGGAGAATTGCAGGTGTGTTGCCGGCCTTTTACAAGGGAATAAGCTCTTTACTTGAAGGTCCCTAAGTCTTATCGGTCTGGAAAAATCTTGGTGGTAGTCGACTTCACTAGGAAGTTGTGTGAGGGAGAAAACTTCTTTTAAATCGCACAGTGATGGACCGTGAGTCATCCGGATGGTATGGATGGTATCGCGAGTTTTGTCGCGATGTGCGATGGTGAAATAGTGCAGCTGCAATTAGTTAATAATAATAATAAATAGTCCTAACTATTCCCCAGAGCACTCCCCGTGGTAAATGCGATAAAATACGTAAATACATGCAATATCTCTTCGCATTCGCAGTACTAGTGAGTCAAGACGATCCGAAAGGGCTCGGTCGCCGACGATTCGAGCGGTTCTGCGCTGGATGCGATCAAATAGTATTCCATGTGCGGCCAAACCTGTGCCTTCTAAAGTTGCAGGCTGCATGCCGGCATGAAATAATGTCCCGCTCTACTGATCACGCCAAGCTATTCAGAGACTATTTGTTTACGCCAGACGGAAAATACTAAGACTGGCGACAAAGGTACGAAGCGTCTGGTATTGCGATCATCATAGTACACAGCTCTAATATAGAGAAAGTAAGAGGGTGTTAATAACCCAGCCTGATTACTGGCAAAATAAGAGTCTTACTTACATAGCAATGGTGATGAGATGGCATCGTAAAGCATAGTTGCTTCATTTTTATTGTACATAGATTAAAATAATACTACTTATTGAAAACTTGATTTTATCACTGGTGCGGAAGAAAAACGTCGGAGAGAACTAGCAAGTAAACAAGCGGGAAAAAATGTTTATAACTAATGTAATATATATTGATCTAATACCGTAAAAATGCTTTTTTACACGTGTCAAATCAACACGTGTAAACTGAATCGTTTGCGAACAGATATCTACAGATACTTGATTTGAATGAGTAATTCGACATCATTATTTGGGGCTTAACTTATTTTTCTAACATAAATTGCCTCAGAATTTTTTGAACGTTCTTCACATAATGAGTTATTGAAAAATAATTTTCCTGCCTCATATTTCAAACTAGCTTGCGTGGGCTTTAATTTAGTAACATCATCACTGCTTCTTGCCTAAATGAACAAATTGGATCTGTTTTAGAGTCACCTCGTTGTCCGAGTCTCTGTATTTGTAGAAAATTCATATGAGAGATCTCCCTCATATAATTAAATTTAATTTTATTCAATTTAAACTTCAAGTAGATAACTGACCATTAGGCGTTACCGAAAGTAAATAATTGTAGCCTAATCTCAGATAAACTTCACAATCACCGTCAGATGTGGTGAATTAAACTTTATGTATAATATAAAAATAAAATAAACACAACACACAGTTGTAAAATATTTCAGGTTTTGTAACTCTTGGTACTTCTGTAAAAAGTCCGCCATCATTTTTTTAAATACTTCAGATTTCTTAGAGTCTGGCCCTGATGTCACTTGTTCTTTATACCCCCCCCCCCCTTAATGTTATTTGCTTGTAAGAAGAATATATGTATTACACCAGCTGTGTATATTGCTGATAGTAGGGCTCTTCTAAAACGTTTTTAAATTAATGTAAGTATACCTAACTAATTTTGTACACGAAAGTAATCAGTAATATGTTCACGAAGTTAATGTCAGTGAGACAGCAACCCGAACGGGTAAACAGGCATGTGGGGGCACACGTCGTACAGTTCTACTCATAGAACTGTACTGATAGATTTGAGTTAACATAATAATAAAACTATTCTTTAGGTAGCCATACACGCTAGGTTGTATGTGTCAGCTTTGCCTGTACAGGAAAGCTGAGTTGAGTAGAGTGGATACAGGTAACGGTAAACCTGTACAAGCTCCTAGTGGAAACCATAGCCCCGGCAGCGGCGCTTGATCTCGACGCAGTAGCGCTAATCGATTTATTATTTGTTTTATTAAAGAAAAGAAATTTAAACAAAGATACTTACTGCGAAAAATATATAATACTTTAATTACTTACTTAATACTTTACTTTCAATATTTTAATTACTGTAAAGAAAACAATACAGTTACGTCAACTTATTGCAGGAATAAAATTTTGAGGGGAAAGACTACTGCAAATACTACAAATGGATGAAAAGACGTATCACAAACTGTTATCAGCGGTGTCTCCTTTAATTGGAAAGCTGAATTCAGTAATGAGAAAAGCTATATCGCCTCAGCTAACAGTGATGTAATCATACCTAGCAAAAAGGAGAACATACCAATGTCTCTAATATTCTGCCATGCCACAAAATGACACAACTGACGCCTACGCATGCAACCGCCATACAAGCTCAGTTTCGCTTGTACCATTAAACTGCTTCGGGTTGCCCGTACAGGTGTGGTAACCTTCCACAATTATCTAATATACACGCTCCGGTTTACCCATACAGCTAAACTGTGCAGGAAAACCTTTTTTTTTATAAACGAGGGGGCAAACGAGAATGCGGCTCACCTGATGTTAAGTAACTATCGTCACCCACGATCAACCGCAACACCAGAGGAATTGCAGGTGCGTTGCCGGCCCTTTAGAAAGGAGTAAGCTCTTTTCTTGAAGGTCCCTAGGTTGTATCGGTCCGGAAAAATCGCCGGTGGTAAACTATTCCACAGAAAAGGCGTACGCGGAAGAAAACTCCTTGTGAAACGTACAGTGGTGGACCGCCAAGCATCCAGATGTTATGGATGGTATCGGGACGTTTGCGTAGTGAGTTCACGAAATTTGGCGGCTGGGATTAATCTGAACAATTCCTCTTAGCACTCCCCATGGTATATGCGAAAGAAAATGCAAAGAGATGCAACATCTCTTCGCAGCGCCAGTGAATCGAGCCGATCGTAAAGCACTCGGTCGTCGACGATTCGAGCCGCTCTGCGCTGGATGCGGTCAAGTGGAAGGAGCTGGCACTGGGGAGCCCCAGCCCAGAGATGGAAACAGTATTCCATGTGCGGCCGAACCTGCGCCTAGTAAAGTTGCAGGCGGTGTGCCGGCACGAAATACTGTCCTGCTCTGCTGAGCACGCCAAGCTTTTTAGCGGCCAATTTGGCCTTCTCTTTCAAGTGACCACGAAACTGCACGTCACTCGAAATTTCGACGCCGAGGATTCCGATACTGGCTGAGGCAACAAGGAGAATGCCTTGAAACTGAGGAGATACGACAAAGGGGTTCTTTTTAGCGATTAACGCGCAAACTTGTGGCTTCTGAGGGTTAAACTGGACTAGATTTAGTCGCCACCAATCCGAAACTTTGTTCAGCAAAGACTCGACTTCAGACATAAGTTCGTCCCAGTACTCGGGGAATCCCGATAATATTTTCTATAATTCTATGTAGATTCTATATAGATTTCTATATAGCTAATAATTCCCGAGAAATATTGGCACGGCCGGTGTGCAGAGCATCACCAGTGCTGTCATCTGCATAGCAATGAATGTTACAGGTTTGCAACATATCATTGGTATGCAGAATAATAATAATAATAATAATAACGACGTAGGGAAGTGACGACCCTATCGCCCGCTGACGTAACGGTTATGTGACAAAACCACTACGTCAGCGCAGTCAGTCAGCACCTTGCCAAGAGGTGTTAGTGCCGTGCCTCGGCAAAAATTGAAGGTGCAAAGGCCCGCTTGTGCACATGGCTCCACCATGAAACTGCGCCGGATCTGTTAAATGACGCCCACCACTATGGATGATGGAATACGGAAGAACGCGCAAAGGACCGCTGCCTGGAGGTCGCCAGGGCGCATCTGGAGCTGGCGCTGGATGCGACAGCATGCGAACTGCCAGCCGAGCGAGAGGTGCTGCACGACCACCCATCAGCCCCTCGCATCCATCACCCCCATCAGCTGGCTTGGTGTCGGCAGGGTCTTCGTGGGCCCAGCAATCGGCACCCGCCACTGGTGGAGTACGCCTCATGCGATGGACAATCGAAATGAGTACTAACGCATTGCGGGCGTATTTTAGGGCGAAAGGGGGAGAAGTTGGAGGTTTGGCGTATCGGGTTAGGATGCATCGTCTTTTTGCTGAGCTGGAGCCATCTTTAACCGTCACAGAGCAAAACCTGGCAGACCGAGTTCGGTATCTCTTGCGCTCAAATATATTTGATGTCGCCGAACTCGAACGGCTACGACCTGAGGCTGTTCCGTCATTGGATGAAAATGCTACGGCTAAGGAAGTGGCGCCAGCAACCCGCAAACTTGGATGCCTCCGTGAATACCCCAGTTGTGGTTGATTCAAACGATGATGGAACAGTCGCCCAGGAACTGGAATTATGAGGAGTACATTGGAAGAGGCGATTGTGGAAATGCGCAGTACGCCTCTCGAAAATCGACCGCGACTTCCCCGCATAGCCCTAAGCAAGCGGAATCGGGCTGTCGTGAGGGCTCTGAACCCAATGCTATTAAATGAATCAATTCTTTTTCGCGCCGCGCTGGCAGTCTGCCGTATCATAGGCGCCAAGGTTTCCACGGTTGGAGGCGCTACTGGACAAAGTAGCGCTATCCCAGCCTGGAGAATAAGAATTGAAGAACGTGTCGCAAAGGCTAGGGCCCTCATCGGCAGACTGATATGCTTCAGGTCAGGCAACAACAGGCCAAGGATTGTGCGCACCGTCAGGATGGCATTTGCTGGGACAAATGTTAGTTTGTCCCAGCCGGATATAATGCAAAAACTGACGGAGCGCATAGACCACCTGAAGCAGAGAATCGCTGCTTGGGGAAAGCGGATTCGGCGATATACCGAGAGGTCGACACGGTTCAACCAGAATCGTCTCTTCCAGAGTGATCATACGAGGCTCTATAAATCATTGGAGCGACCAATGGTAAGTGGCTCGGGCTCAGCACCGAATCAGTCCGACACTGCATTCTGGCGCGGCCTGTGGTCAGAGCCCGTAAACCACAGCGAGGGCCCTTGGACGGAAGTTGTGGCAGGTCAGTGTGCGAATATTATGCCCATGGACCCCGTCATCATAGCGCTGGATGACGTAGCTGAGGCGGTCCGTAGGGCCCCGAACTGGAAAGTCCGGGACTCGACGGGCTGCATCACTACTGGCTGAAGGGGTTCATGGTGTGTCACGCTGTGCTCGCCCGTCAGTTTCAAGAGGCTCTCAATCAGAAGTCGCTCCCTAGCCTCTTCACTACTGGGATCACTCATTTGGTTCCTAAAGACCAGGTTACCACAGACCCGAGCAAATACCGCCCCATCACGTGTCTACCGACCATATACAAGACACTAACATCCATTTTGAGCGCGAGAATTACTCGTCACCTGGACTCAAATCAGGTGATGTCGCGTGCTCAAAATGGATGTCGGGGCGGCGGTCGTGGAACCACAGAACCACTCCTCATTGACGCGGTCATTGGCAAAGTGGTGAAACGCAACCGTCGGAACTTCTCCGCCGCCTGGATAGATTACAGAAAGGCATTCGACTCGGTTCCACATACATGGCTAAATAGGGTCCTCGGGCTGTACAAGATTGACTGTACAGTTAGAGACTTCCTCGAGCAGTGTATGGGGCAGTGGTGTACGATCCTCTGTCATCTAGGCGAGCGGATGACAGCTGCGGAAAGCCGCGTAGGGATAAGAAGGGGTATATTCCAGGGCGACTGCCTGAGTCCAATCTGGTTCTGCCTCTCTTTGAACCCTCTCAGTACTTTACTGGAGCGGAGCCCTCCAGTAAAGTACTGAGAGGGTTCAGGGAGGGGGTTAAAAACAATATGCGGAAAGAAGTTTTGGATGCGATACGTCAAGACATTTCGTCTATGTTACGTCGATGTTCAGTGCCTAAACCGAATCTTCCCAAAGACGAATTTATAGCGTTAAAGAACCTACGCAATAAACCAGAACTTACGATTCTCCGCGCAGATAAGGGAAACGCCACGGTAGTCATGGATACGTCAGATTATAATTCCAAAATACAAGAACTTTTGTCGGATGTAAGTACTTATAAAAAAGGTTAAAAATGACCCAACAAATAGCACACTAAAAACAACTAGTGACCTCATAAAGAAACACTCCGAAAAATTAAATCTGGACGTAAAATGGATAATACCTACGTGCGCCAAATCACCAAAATTGTATGGGTTACCAAAAATACACAAGCCCAATACTCCATTACGTCCCATAGTGAGCCAAATCGATTCACCAACTTACAGATTGGCTCAACACTTAGCGAAAATACACTCACCGCTCAGGGGACATACAAGAGCACACATCAATCAATCAATTATTTTATTCGTTTATCACATAAAGGATTCCTACCATTTTGTCAGCGAGATTAAAGACCTACATCTGACAGACAATGAAACTATGGTCAGTTTTGATGTGCAATCATTGTTTACATGCTTACCTGTTGAAGACTGCATCTCAATTGTAACTAGAAGGCTGGAAGAAAACAACATGCCCGTAGAATATGCAGTATTACTCAGACACTGCCTTACGTCTGGCTACATGCTAGTTATGGATGCACCCCGTCCCTCTGTTTTAGACTAGTATATTAATATATATTATATTGTATTATTTAGGCTAAGCAATAAAAGTAACACATCAGCATTTTATATAAGATTCCTAGTACTTAGTTGATGAGTCGAACGTCTGCGTACGAACAGACTTTTTAAGATTGATTCATTATTAATGCCACCTCCAAATCGGTGAGACGTATTAATTTAGTTGTAGTTTAGTTTTTAAAAACTCCTTTCGACGTTCCCGAAATTTGACTGGCGCAGCCGGTAGGATTTGCTCGTAAAAGCTGTGCCGTCTCTCGATATATTCAGGTGTCCAAATTCGCCTGGATTCGTGATAAGCGGTGCGATTAGCTGTTGGGCAAATTCAAGAACCAAATAAATTTGTCATCAAGGGAAGTGGAAGCGGAAGGCATGGGAATAGCAGCTGGTTGGTGAGTAAAACTCTTCACCATCCTTGATACCACTGTTATCCTTCACTTTTAATTTAATTTGTTATTATTGAGATCGGACTTCTCTCATTATAACGTATCTGGTTTTTAATTAATTCCATTTAGTAATAGAAACTCCGTTACTGTAGACATAACATAACGCTGAGAAGCTTAAGGGACGCAGAGTGCCTTTCGCACAGAGATTATTGAACGCTTAAAAAAAAATAAGATTTTTATGGAAGTAATAAACTAAAATCTAATTAAAAGTTTACTATAAAAGATAATTAATTAATGTATGTTTTATTAATGCTAGAGATATAATACAGTTTTGTTTCATTTATTTTCTTTTTATTACATTTACACATTTTACAAAATTTATGGTTAGATTAACTTTTATTTTTTTATGTTGTGCGTGTTCTACCTTATATGTTTTGTTATTGCATAAAATAGTGCACTATATTAACTGACTTCTCTGACTCGTGTATTACTCTATAACGATGGAACAACCACAGGCAGCAGAACGACAAACCGTTGTAATTAATCCCATACCTACAGAGATGCTACGGCTTATTCCACTTTTTAATGGCGATAAAAGACAGCTAAATTTATTTTTGAGGAAATCTGAATATGTCATTCGTAGGTATAGGGGCGACGAAGAACAAAATTTATATGTATATCACTCCATAACTAGTAGGCTTACAGATAACGCGGCGTCGCTCTTATCGGAACGTGAGGATGTCGTGACATGGTCCCAGTTGAAAGATTTGTTAACACAGCACTTCGGAGACCCGCGTAGCGAAGAGTGTATTAGTATTGAATTAGAATCCTTAAAAATTAAATCCGGTGAAAGCTTTCAAGATTTTTGTAACCGCATTCAAAGTATTCGATCATTATTAATTTCAAAAGTAAACATATCCGATGATAGTAATCTTAAAAGCGCTAAATTGGCAATTTACAATAATACGGCCCTAAACGTGTTCCTATACAATCTTCCCGAGAATATGGTTCGAATAGTGAGGTTAAAGAAGCCAGCGACTTTAGAGGACGCGCTGAGCATTGTACTAGAGGAAGTCAACTTCCACGATCAATACAATATGCGAAATCGTGTCCACGGTAGTAGCGGTTTAGGTTTAAGGCAGCCTCAAACATCAGCCCCAACGCAAGGATTTAAATTCGGTGGTACGCCTCACACAGTAATGCAACCTTACGGATACAAACCAGTATTACCAAGCAATAGTACACCAAAATTTAATTTCGGCATTCAAAATCAAAGCCAATTTAGGATGCCCCAATCTGGCTTTCAGCCCCAACTAATGCAGCAGATGAGTTACCGTCCACCTCAATTCGGTTATCGGCCACAACTTGGCCAACAACCACAACAGTTCGGTTATCGTCCACAATTCGGCTCTCAGCCACAACAGTTCGGTTACCGTCCACAATTGGGCTTTCAACCACAACAGTTTGGTCAAAGATCTCAACAGCAATTTGGACATATGCCGACTACGCAATTCGGCAATAAGCCACAAATTCAGAAACCCAATTTTCAGGAGACTGACGTTTCCATGAGGACAGCCCCTCCAAGGCCACAGCCCGGTTTTAGATTAAACGAGTTAACTTTAAGAGAAAATGACGGACAGTATTATGACGAGTACTATGACACGGACGAGTATGTAGAACAGTATGACAATGAACTGACACCATCCGCTGAGGAAACTATTGACGAAACGACTTATAACGAACTTACAGACGAATCTCAAACTCAAACTATTGAAAATTTTCACATGAAAGCCTCAATAGGAGACAAGAAGTTATAGAATTAAATTGTGATCCGAATCTCAAATTACCCTATATTTATATTCCTGAAATAGATGCAAAATTAATGGTAGATACAGGTAGTACTAGATCCTTTATCAGCCCCCGTAAGGCATACCAACACTTTTATCAATATATAACACATGAACCATTCGAAGTAGTCAGCACCCACGCCTCTAGTAGACACGATGAAGTGATACAAATCCCTCTACCACCCACCTTTAAGAGTTCGGATTGCCATAAATTTTACCTATATGACGTCGACTCTCGTTACGACGGCCTCATAGGTAACGACCTATTGAAACAATTAGATACAATAATAGACCTTAAAGACCTTGTACTTAAAATCAAAACAACTTGCATACCAATAGTCAATAATAATTTAAATTACGTTATAACACTACCACCACGATCAGAACAGCGCGTAAAGTTGCCAACAGACCAGTGTTCTGGAGAGGCAATCATTGATTATAAGGAGTTTGTCAGCGGTGTACGAATGCCCAGTGCATTGGTAAACTGCGTTAACGGTTATGCCACAACAGTCATACAGAATGTTCTTGACAATGAGATGATATTGACCGTAACACGACCTTTTACCGTTACTAAGTACGAGACTACTCAATGTGACATAAACTTTACGAGTACCTATGACGACATAGAGATCGATAAGATACTCGAAGAAAATCTACTTAAGCTAAGACTTGATCACACTAACGATGAGGAACGCGACAAAATCTTTAGACTATGCCAAGAATTTAAAGACATATTTTACTGCGACAAACTACCACTGACCTTCGCTAATAAAATTAAACATAAAATACGTACAAAAAATGAAGACCCAATTTACGTCAGACCTTACCGACAGGCACCAATGCAAGTAGAAGAGATAAATAGGCAAGTAGACAAGCTATTAAAGGACAATGTTATTCAGGAGTCACATTCGCCATGGAACGCTCCTGTACACCTGGTACCCAAAAAGTTAGATGCATCTGGTGAAACTAAATTTCGCATGGTTATAGACTATCGACGTTTGAATGACATAACCATCGACGACAAATACCCACTACCAAACGTAACAGATTTGTTTGACAAGTTAGGGAAGAGTTCCTATTTCAGTACAATTGACTTGGCAAGTGGTTACCATCAAATTGAAATAGAAGAGCAAGACAGGCAAAAGACAGCCTTTAGCACTCAAAACGGCCACTATGAATTCCTCAGGATGCCATTTGGTTTGAAGACAGCTCCTGCAACTTTCCAGCGGACCATGGACAGTGTGCTAAGGGGATTACAGGGGATACACTGCATGGTATATTTGGACGATATAATTGTATTTTCAACCAGTCTGGAAGAAC